CCACACGGAGCTGAGCTGGCACGCCCGTGGAGCACATGATTTTCCCAGGAGCCACAGAGAAGAGGCGCTCCATCTGACCCTCCCCTCTCCCTGGCAGTCAGCAGAGTGCTGCAAGGTAGGCGGGCTCACCTGGGTGGACAGGATGCCGTGCTTGAGCCCCGTGTTGTGTGTTCCGGACCCAATGACGCCAGCTGCAGTCACATCTGACACGGCTCCCAAGCTGGGCAAAGCAGGACAGAGCGAGAGGGACACGAGGGACCACCAGTTAGGCTTTGCTGGGACAGTGGGCCCCCTGGGTTGCGGGGTGAGGCCCCTCAGAGCAGAATGGTAGATTCATCTCCTACCTGGGTTCTCATCCGAGACTTAGCTTGTCTGATTGGCTGGCCCTTCTCTCTGGGCCTAGTTTCCTCACCTCAGTGGCCTGTCAGATGAGCCAGGGGGTGGGGAGCATGGCTCAGCTCTGAGGGGAGGCCTGCCTGCCTGGATCTGGGGTTTCCACAGCCTGGAACCTCCCTTCTCTATGTCCTCCGTCTGCCAATGATATCTTCTCCACCAACCCAAGGCCCCAGTGGTCCTGCTAACCCTTCTCTAGACCCAGCCAATCAAGGCCTGAGAAGTCCTGTGGGGGACCTGGTTCAAATGGCACACAGAGATGTCCTAGGCAGGTATAAGGAGATGGGAGCATCCCTGTGCTGTGAAGAAGAAGACCATGTCACCCCCCTGCTCAGAAACCTTCAGGCGTTCCTTGGGGCCTCCAGGACTAAACCCACCTCCCTCATCGCAGAGTTCCAGGCCCTGGAATGAATAGAAGACTCCGTGTGCACAAAAGGACCAGATTTCTAAAGGGCAGCAGTATCCCTCCAGAGGTGTGCGCTCTGGAGGCAGGAATTACAAAGATGTATGCAGATTTCAGGATGAAGAAAAAAGAGCAGGAAAAAGGCTTACTTCTCAGGAGCTTTCTCTGAGACATCTCAGCCCTAGCTTAAGGAGATATTTATTGACGGTCCCTTGGGTGCCAAGGTGATTGGAGCCTTATACTGTACACAATCGTTTCATATTCAAGAAATGGGCTTTGCATGGAAAGGCAAGGATTTGACACGTCTTCTGCCCTCGGCACAGGCTAAGGGCCCCTGAAACAGGCAGGCTCCCGAAGATGCAGGCTGCAGGACACCAATGGCTCTGCTCTGCTTTCAACTTAAGCTGACAATGATAAGAAAATCTAGCTTCAGACCTTCCTGTGGAGGTGAGACCTGAGGATAGGAAGAGGCGGAGAGAAACCAAAGCCTTTTCCAGTCCTCCCTCACCCTTCCTCCACCCCATGTCTACTTTTGTCTCTGTCCCCATTCGTTGGACTATTTGGTGACATCGCCCCTTCTGAAAAAAAAACAGAATGTTAAAAAAGAGGCTCACAGGCGTCCTGCCCTATGGAAACACTCCGGCGTGTGGAAAAGCGTAAGCATGAAGGCGTCCATCGCAGAATTGCGTGTAATGGTGGAAAACAGAACCACCTGAGTGTGTCCAAAGGGGAAATGGTTGCTCCCATTGCAATCTATAATAGCTCCCTTCTCTGTGACATGTACAAAGCGCGATATGGAAGCGTGCTTGTGACAACGTTAAGAGAAATAAACTGGATAAAGCAAGGCCCTCAGCGAGAAGGGCCTCGGAAAGAAGGATTAGACTTTGGCCCCTGAGGGGGTGGGGGACAAGGAGCTAAGGGAAAAGGTCACTCCTGGAGGCTGTGGGGCGAGACCCTGACAGAATCAGGAAAATGAACAAGAACTAACATTTACAAAGCACTTTCTCTGTGGGGCATCTTTAACTCATCCCGTCTTCTGAGCACCCCTATTTTATAGACCCATTTCCTAGATAAGGCCCAGGTGGGTCCAGGAACTAGACAAAAGCTCATATGAGGTACAGCTGGGGTTTATGCCCAGGCCGGCTGCTCTTGGAGCTGGAGTCTTCAGCATACTGCTGTCTCTTGAGAATGGCGCTGTGTCCTGCCTCTGCTGGCTTACCACATGGTGGAGTGCCCCAGAGCTTTCCAGCTGGGTGACTTTGGTAAGTCCCTTAGCCTCAGCCTCTGGTCTCTTCATCCCTAAATGCAAGTTATATTCCTTCCTCACAGGGTTGGTGTAAGGAGGAAATGAGAAATGAGACACTGCGCCAAGCACTCAGCCTGCAGCCTGACACAGCTCAGTCCTTCCCTCCAGCCTCCCAGCCACCCCTCAATCCCCACAGCGTCCTTGGAGCTAGAGACCCAGGCGGCCCCTGAGGCACAAAGGATGGGACATCCTCACTCCCTCTGAGTGGCAGAGGAGGCCCGAGCAGGCAGCCACTTGAGGTGGGCTGGGTCCCCAGGGAGGGCAGAGACATCATGAACAACAGGGCACGGAGATGTTTCAGGGCCCAGAAGCTAATACTCATACTTAACAGAACATGTCTTCTCTTGTTGTCATTGGTCACAGGGTCTGTCCCATTATCTGCTTACGGGACCCTGCACTCCCCACACCGTTCCCCTCTCCTGGGCGTTGGCTCATGCTGTTCCCTCTGCATGAATCCCTTCTCTCCTCTCTTTGTTCTGGTTTAATACCTACTTATCTTGTAGGACTCCACCCAGGGGCCCCTCCTGCAGGGAGCCTGATCTGATTCCCATCCCCTCACACAGTCTCCTGCCCGCCAAGGCTGAACCTGGAGCTCTCGAAGCCCCGCAGTGCCCTAAATACTTCTCTGCCATTGAACCTATTTTCCTGCATTATGCTTGTCACGTTGTGTGTCCCTCTGCCCCCTTACTTGGAGCTCTTTGTGAATGGGTTTTATACATCTCTGCCTCGTCGGGGCCTGAACAAGGTCTGCACGTGGCAGACACTCCATAAATGTTTGAATTGCCATCCCCTTGAGGAGGCGGGAACAGAATGGTTTCCAGAGTGAAGAGATATAGTGATGTCCCAGGGCCTGGGGTAAGAAAGCTGGGGCAAATGGACCACTCACGTTTGAAGACCAGCCACAGGCTGCCATGGGGGCAATATCCAGCTGTGAAAACATTGCTACCCTAATATCCAAAATATCTCTGTCATTTCTTTCTAATGGTTGAAATCCCACAGTTAGACGTTCACTCCTTTGGCTGTGTTTGATTCCGGTTTCCATGGAAATCCCCTGATATTAAACCTGAGCAATCACTGACACCATGTTTGGATGGAGACACAAGTGAAGTACCACAGATAGGTACACTAGGAAGCCCTGTGGCTCACTCAGCATGCCCCTCTGTTCCTCTGAGTGCTTATTTTGCATAGCCTTTTCTTTGGGTCCATATAGTTGCAAGTTTTAAGAAAGGCTTAATCTATGGTCTTCCCAACCCTGTACAAGACTTGTTATTTAATGCCCAGCTTATCTCTGGCCTGTTTCTTCCAATTCTTATACAACAGCACCTGAACCCATGGGGGATGGAGAGATAGGTATCCTATGGGAATGAACAGGGGTCCACAGAAAGGGGGTACACCATGGGAAGTGCTCTTCTCTGACTCCTGCCAGATCCTTGAGTGTTTGGCCAAGGCCAAGGCAGGGGTGGTGGGCAGCACTGGCGCATCTACGAATGGGGAAGGTGGCACTTACTTAGACAAGGCCAGGCCATGTTTGTCCAGCTGTGGGTTCAGGTCAGCCAGGAGGATGCCAGCCTCCACGGTCACCTGCTTCTTCTCTGTGTCCACCTGCAACAGACCAGCATAGTCTGGGATGAGCTGGGCAGGCATCCTGCCCTCACCCTGCAGCCAGGCTCCCCATGAGTATAAACATGTCTGTCCCAGCCTGTGGTCAGCTCAAGACACCCCCAGCAGCAGGTAGCCAAAGGGGCAGAGCCCTAGAGTGCTGGAGCTTTGGGAATATTCTGTGTAACCCCTTCTTTTCACAGGGGAAGGAAACAGGAGCAGGGAAGAGGGATTTGTCCAAGGTCACTGGCAAAGCTGGGACTAGCGTTCAGGCCTCCTAACTGCCACAACTGCACTTTCCCCCACCCCAGAGCAGGAAGGTGGCATTCCTTGTGCAGCGTCACCAACTAAGGAGGGTCTACTCTAGATGGACTTCAAATTCCCCACTTATTCTCACCCTGGCAGGGCTTAGCAAAGACAAGAACTGGATGAGGAGGAGGAGGAGAATTAATGTCTATTAGGCTCCCGCCACATGCAAGGAGGGTGCTATGTCCTGAGATCCCCACGGCAGCCCTGGGGTGTAGAAACAGTCTCTCTCCATCTCACAGGAAGGCGCCTGAAACGCAGGGATTTTAAGCCACTCTCCAAAGGTCACACAAACATTGATGGGGAACTGAGATGAGAACCCACTTCTCTGTGACTCCAAAGCACAAGCTCGGTCCATGGACCCAGAGCACAGAGCTCGGCAAAATCAATCGCTGGAGCCCCATCCTCGCTAATTAGCAATCAGAGTTAATTACTGCCATGACTGATGTCTTGACTGGAATGTTTTCTATGAGGTAGAGACCATCCGCATGAGCAACTAAGGAAATTAGTAGAGAGAAAACCAGAACCTCTGCTAGCAGGGCTGGGTGGAGGGGAGGTTATGTGGCAAAAATTATAGCTCAGGGGAGCTGGTCCCGTCGGTGAGAGAAGGAGTCCTGATACCATGCTAACAGCGGCACATCTGTTCGTCTCTGACTCCCTGGCAGGCCCCTAGGGGGGGCAGTCACCCAGCGCTGGCTGAATTGCATAGTATCCCAGCACAGAGCTGTCATCAGGCTCCTGAGTCTGTGCCCAGTTCTGCTGCTGTTAGGCTGTGTGACCCTACCCAAGTCACCCACCCTCTCTGATCTTCAGTTTCCCCGTATGTAAAACTAGTTAAGTGCAAATCCTTCTGGATTTGTCATTGTGAGACCTCCTTTGGGGGCCTGACTTGCCATTCTTGTTCTAAAGAAGTGGAGAGGAGGCTCTGGCAGGAGAGGGGACATGGTCATCCTCCCTGTGGCCACAAGGGGGCGCTCAAACCTGACAAGAGGCCTGAGCATGCCCAGGGAGGGCTCTCAGGAGGAGTGATTACCAGTGGGGTCAGAAATTGGGGTGTCACTGTGGGATTCAGGGGCAGGGAGGAGATCAGGCCTGAGGGGAAAGGCTAAGGAGTTTCCACCCGGGGTTTGGGATGAAGGCTGAGGCTGGGGGCCAGCAGAGGCGGGGAGGAGAGGGCTGCTAGTACCTGGAGGACCCGGTTCATCTTGCCCATGTGGATCATGAAGCCATCGGTGCAGGCAATGTCCGAGGGCGAGTGGCCACCACCCACCACTTTCACCCGCTTGTTCTGCTGCCTGGCCAGGGCCAGCACCTGCCAAGGCAATGCATGAATGAGCTCCAGCTCAGGCCTTTTGTGTCTGGTGCAGCCCGGGAGCACGCAGGGCCTACAGCGGGGCGGGCCACCCAGGCCATGCACGCCCCCCCCACACCACCCCTTTCAGGCCTCCAGTACCCCTGCTGTGCAGGTCACTTCAGGAAAGAGAGTCGGGGAGAAGGGCCAGGAAGTGAGCGGGATGGAGAACCAAGGATACATCCTACAGTGGGGCTCCGGTGCACTTTCCCAGCTGGAGGCTTTTCTACGGGCAAACCTGATGATATTTTCTAGGGCAAAGCTTTTCAAGGGTGCCCCAGTGCCTTCAGAATAAGGCCCAGGGCCCTCTTCTTGGCCTACACAGTCCTCAGCTGCTTCCCAGGCTGGAATGAAGGCTTCAGGGGGCAGGGGCATGGCTTAATTTGACTTTGTACCCACCATGTCTACCCCAGATCCGGCATGAGTAGGCAGTCTCTAATGATTGTTGAATGAATAAATGAATGCACAGTGTCACTTAAATGGATCTACTCCCATTCACCCTCATGTCTCTGCTCAAACACTCTCACTGGTCCATGGAACGTTAGTCTCACAATTTACACCACCAGGGGTTCCACGAGCAGGAAGACATGCGTGCAGCATGTTTAAAGCTACAGGTTCCCCAATAAAGAAATCTGTTTAGGGCCGGCCGAGTGGTGCGATGGTTAAGAACTGGCTTGGGACGCCAGAGGACCCTGGTTCGGATCCCACATATGAGGGCCAGTGACACTGCCCTCCACAGCTAAGATGCTGAACAACAGCTCAACCTGGAGCTGGGCTGCCATGAGTCGCCGTCGACGGCATAGGCTGCAGCCCCTGTGGCAGTGGGTTGCCATGGGCTACCGTGTGTAGCCAGCAGCCAGCGTGAGCAGCCCTCAAGCCGCTATGAGCGGCTGTCCAGAAGCCAGCGACTGATCTGCCTCGCCCGGGAAGAGCGCAATGATGGTGCCAACTTGGGCCAGTGAAGCAACGTCCTCCACAACTAGACTGAAGAACAAAATGACAGCAACTTGTCTGTTCCCCTTCCCCCAATTCCCCAGTACTCTTCCCATCCCCCCAATTCCCCAATAAAAAAAAAATCTTAAAAAAAAAAAAAGAAATCTGTTTAACACCATCTTCCTCGAGCTCCCCTGACCACACGACCTATTTTTATTTTCACCTGCCCCTATGAACCCTCCAAGGAAACGTCAGCCTACAATAAATAGTCTGCCTGATCCTGTTAGTAATTCACAACTGTGTAGGTCAGCTTAGGAATGGCCTTCACTCACAGAAATATTAACACATCTCCAGGCCCTTCCTGCAGCTCAGAACAAAGCTTCATGCCTCAGCAGTCAAGGCCCTCATATCATTCACAGCCACTCCGCCCTCCCAGCCTATCTGTCCTGCCCTGTACCCTACCTGTCCTCCCCACAGCCTACTCTCCAGGTGTCCTCCTCACTTCCCTTTGCTCACGTTGCCCTTCCCCGGCTCCCTGTTGAACTCCTATTCATCCTCCAGGGCCCTCCTCAATGAGCACTGTTCCTTTACGTAGCTTTCCCTGCATAAATGTTGGGGGCTTTGAACTCAGACAATCCTGGGTTGAATCCTGGCTCCGATGCTTATTAATAAGTGATGCATGGCCTCGGGTGTTAGGAGTTAGGGTTTTATTCCACAAGTAATGGGAAGCGTCTGACGGGGTTTAAGCAGGGAAGCAGCCCAGCCCAGCTTACATTTAAGAAAATTACTTTTGCTGACTGCAGAAAGTACATTTAAGGGAGGCAAGAAAAGAAGCAGGGAGACCAGGAATGAGGCTGTCACAGATCACAGAGGATGAGGAAGGGGTGGTGGCCTGGGCTTAGAGAGGAGCAATGGTGCTGGAGAGGAGAAGATGGGTTCTGGAACGTTCTGGGGCACGACTTACTGTCAGATAAGGGTAAAGAAGGGACAATGACTCACTTCTTGGCTTCTAGTTTGAGCAACCAGGTGCCGTACAGAGACAGAGAAGACAGAAGACTGCAATAGAACAGGTTAAAGGTAAATAAATAAAAACCCAAAACATTGAATGATGCAGCTTTGGGCATATAAGTTTGTGATGTCCTTGAGACACACAATGAGCGAAGGCATGTGATTCCTCACTTAAAGAAAAGATCTGAGCCGAAACTAAAAGTTTGTTGTCCTTGGTGGGCATGACTGCTGAGTGGAGCTGGAGCAGGGGAAAGACTCTTACCTGGTCAGCAGTGCTGGGGCGGGGTGAAGGGGTCTTAGCCCAGGAAGTCCATCTCCCAGCCTCCGCTCTGGGGCAGGGCCTGGTCTATAGGGCCCGGATGAGCTGGAGGTCCCGGGGCTGGGCTGAGATGGACACTCACTCACCTCTCTGATCTCCTCCACGGACGTGGGCTGATAGTACATCTCTGGGCAGCAGCCATAGGTCTTTGCCCAGTTTTGGAATGTGACTCCTTTGTATCCATGAACCTGTGACAGGAAACAAACTGAGTCACCAGATATGTGGCTGTGGGCTGCCCTGAGCCCCATCCCACTGTCCTGCCATGGAAGAGATGAGAGGCTGGGGCCATGTGCTGAGTCAGGCTCTTTCTCTGCCATCATCACCTCTCAGGGCTGTAGATTAAAATAGCTGCATGTGGGCTTCCAGGTATTATCTCCCTTGATCCCTCACGGTCAGGTGGGCAGATCACAAAGGAGACTGCCCATGCTTAGGCGAAGTGATGAGGTCAGGGTGGAGCCTGAAAAATCAGGACTCGGGACTCCTGCCCAGGTCCCGGCACCTCTCTGAGGGACCCAGGAGAGGGTGTACTCCAGCCAAATAGGATGATCAGCAAAGTGGCTGCATGAGCCGGCCTGGCCGTCAAGGGCTTGGAAGTGGCCTTCATCTTCCCCGACTGGCTTTTCCAGCAGGGAAGGGGCAGATTTGGGAGGCTCCACAGCAGCCTTCCTGGCCTCCTCCACCGCAGAAGCCCTGCGGAGAACAGTCCCATTTATTGGACACCAGCTGTGTGCCAAGCACTGTGCTGGGACCCTCCATAGATCGTATCTTAAGTAGACCTTACCATAGTGCCACAAAATAGGTAATATGACCCCCATTCTCAGGAGCAGAAACGGAGGCTCAGAGAAGTGAAGTAAGTTCCTCAAGCTGACACAGCAACCAAATATGGACACGGGAGTCCAACCCAGGCCCGCCTTTCCCATGCCTTCCCCAACACCCCAGTGCCCTCCCCCCCTCCAGAGCCTCTAGTCCCATTCAAGAGGGTCCCCGTGGCTTCCCCTCAGCCCCAGATATGACCTAATTTTGGCCTCACGGACCCAGCCTGAATGACGCCTGGCAGGGCTGACCAGCTATCCCATGTGGCCCTACCATGGCTCCAGCAGTGGGTCAGAGGTCTTGGCTGACTCTGGTTTCCTCCAGAAACAGAGGCACGGCTGCGGGGTCCACAGCAGGCAGCACGGCACCCTCAGGACTCAGGGCAGACTCGCAGCTGCTGCTCACCGAGGGGCTTTGGGGCCCAGCAAGGGTGGGTAAACAGTGTTGGGACAGGCTCCACCCAGACAAACAGCAAGCAGCTCAGACCTGACCCCTGCCCCAGGGTCCCTCTTGACAGCGAGGTGAAAGGGCAGCGTTTAAAGGGTAGATGCTCTCTTGCTGGAAGCTGCCTGAGCTCTGATTCCAACTCCAGGCATTCTGGAGCCAAACAACCCCCCCAGCCTTGAAACTGGGTCCTTAATACCACAGGTCAGGGGAGCCTGTGACGTAGGGGGCCTGTGGGAGTCTTAACATGGAGGCTTCCTCGGTGCCCTGTGTGGCTGAATTCTGTGTTTGTGTGTTAGTTTACTCATCAGATCTGGGGGATGAATACACTGAGGGCAGCAGAGTTTGTCACCCCAAAATGTGCCTTTTGGGATATTGATTATTTTAAGCTGGTTTTGTTTTTGTTTTTTTGTTTTTGTTTTTTAAGAAAAGAAAGACTCAGGAAAAACCACTGACCTTCCCCCTAACTGCCTAAAAGAATTTAGGTGGAGGACCTGCTGCAGGAAGGGAGCTATCACCATAGATAACTGTAGTTTAATATGAACTAGTGTGATAGGGAGGAACCTAGCAAGGCCCTTTCGTTCAAAGTCCTCTCAGTGGCCCATTGTTAAAGATGGCCCAGCAAACATTTGTTTAGGAAACGTTTGCTTTTCCATCCCCATGGGAATTGTCTTCCTGCTTGTTCAAGTCCCAAACCTCTACCCCCTCCCCCTTCTCCTGAACTCAAGATGGCACGTAAGCCTCAACAGTCCAATGTGTCCTTGGGGCTTATGTTCTTGTGGCACCCCTGTATGTGTATGCAATAAATTTGTAAATTCTTTTTGTAAATTTTGTATTTAAAAAAAATAATTTGTAAGTAAATACATTAAAGAAAAAAAAAAACCACGTTATTTTCTCCTGTTACTCTGTCTCATGTCAATTTGATGATGAGTCCAGCCAGAAGAATTTAGAAGGGGAGAAGGAAAATTATTTTCCCTTCCCCCACAACACCAAGCTGCCCATGCTATGGGGAGACGGAACAGGATGCTGGTGGCTGTAGCATGGGGGACGAGGGACCCTCCCAGAGGCGGAATCTTCTAGCAGACCTTTTCCCCTCCCTCAGCCTTAGGGCAGACAGACCTGGGTTCCTTCTCCATGCTTTGCTGATTAACCTCTGCAAACCTGTCAAGGTAAGAACCATCCAAACCTGTAGAGAATTTTGATTAGCGTTTATCTGAGCTAAACTATTGACATATGCCGGGGTGCAAGATCTCAAATGCTCCCGAGAATTACAGTTTTGCGGTTGTATTATGCATTTGAAATTAAGGAGGGAACATAAGGAGGTGGGGGGGGGGAAGCAAAGCAGGGATTGGATTCCAGGACACTTAACAAGATTATGTGCTTTCTTGACAGGGGTTACAGTTTATTTCAAAGGTGTGTTAACCTAGATATGCACAGAAACAATGGACAGGGCTTAACAAGGCAAAAATAAACCTTTTACTAAAGAAGTTCCATGTTTGGGAGTGACTATGCACCATGACCAGCCCAGTCAGAAATTTATGATCAGACTGCCCTGTGAGGTTACTTTGTATAAAACTCTTTTTTTGTGTCCACAAACCTCAGTTTCCTTCTCAATAAACTGGGGACATTTTTGCTTCCCTGAGTCAATACAAAGGTTAGAGAAGATGTGTGAGAAGCACTGAAACACAATTAGTGCTTGAAATAGCAGCAGGGTCTTGCATCTGCCCCCAGCTGTGAGCTTTGCGCTGGCAGGATCCTCGGGACACTTGTCTACATCACCATCCCTTAGTTCAGTGCCTGGCACAGAGCCAGCGCCCGATGCACATTTGTGCAACAAACTAAGTCACTGAGCATCTGGACTTATCATGTCTTCAAGCCAAGAGCTGGTGCCTAGTGGGAACGTGAACCACCGCTCTGGAGTTTGGGAGAAAGGCCGGGATGGAGGAGATATGCACATGAGAAACCCTGGAATATGGGGGTAGAGGGGTGGGAGAGGTGCGGGGTGGTTGGAGGTGGGGGGGGGATCAGAGTCATACCTGTGTTTTCCAAACCAGGATTTTCACCAAACTATCAAGTGCGTGTGGTCATGTGCACACAGAAATGCACCCTCCCCCCATGCAAATACGTGCAATTGAAACAGGGTTTGGTTGGCACCCCCATAGTAGAGGCCTCTCCATGTCCCTGGCCTCACCTTTCCTTGACCTACCTATAGCTTAACAATAGATCATCCCCCTGTGGCTTAAGCTCAGAATGTCCCCTGTCCCACCCAGTTCCATTTTAGAAAATTACCCTGAAACTTATAATTGATCACAATCTCAATGGTTTACCAGGCTAATCGCATCCTTGTTCCTGGGTTGCTGATTCCACCACAGAATCATGTGGCCACAGGGAAGTCTCCATGCAGACCCCTGGAAGTGTCATGGAGGAACGCCCAGGTTTTCCCTTAAAAACCCCAAGCTCGTCTGAGAATGTTAAGACAGTTTTTGGAGGTGTTAACCCACTGCCTTCTCAGACCACCGGTGCTTTGGTAATAAATGCTTATTCTATGGCCCAACTCCTGTGTCCATCTATTGGCTGAGCGGTGCAGGCGGCACGAGCCCCGGACTCGTTCGGCCTCTGGTTTCACAATGAGCTGGGGGTGGTGGCCATGTGCTCCCCACAGGGAAATCCCGGCTAGTGGATATGATTGTTCAGAGGCAGCTCAGTTACAGAGAGGGGGGTACCAAAGACAGTTGAGGGATCTGCGGAGCTCGGGGCCACAGAACAGAGATGACTTTGGGTAAAGAGCTGTGTTATGGGCTCAATTGTGCCCCCTCCAATTCCCATGTTGAAGCCCTAACCCCTGTACTCAGAATGTGACTGCAGTTGGCAATGGAGCCTCTAAAGAGGTAACTGAGTTAGAATGAGGTCACTGGGGTGGGCTCTGATCCAATACGACTGTTATCCTTCTAAGAAGAGGAGATTGGGACATAGACACAGAGAAGAAAGGCCATGTGAAGAGTGAGAAGTGAGAAGATGGTCATCTACAAGCTAAGGAGAAAGGCCCCAGAAGAAACCAACCTTGCCGACAGCTTGATCTTGGACTTCCAGCTTCCAGAACTGTGAAGAAATAAATCTTGGTTGCTGAAGCCCCCCAGTCTATGGTACTTTATCATGACAGCTTGAGCTGACCAATACAACATGTTTGCAAGCCCCTGAGGCGGGGTTCTCCACCGAGGCCTTTGTAAGAGAGCAGAGCAAGGCCGGGCCTCTTTGCTCTGCATCCATGTCCCTTGGCTGTCCCTAATGGAGGAGGCAGGACCTGTGCACTCCATGGCTGCCAGCTCCATCGCCCAAGGGCAGAGAGCTGGGGACCGCCCCATAAAACCTCAGGTTCCCTGCCTAGGAAAGGCAGGGCTTGGTGGGGGGACAGTAGTGGGAGGCCGCTGAGGGATGGAGAAAGCACCTATAAGGTTGGCTATAGTCCCTTCTCCACACTCACTATATCAAAGCCCTAGAAGGGAGTCCAGAGGCTGTGGCCAACACACAGGGTGAGCATCAAGCCCAGGGGAACAGAGAGAGGCCCATGCAGGGAGGGGAGGGGGGTGCTAAGAGAAAACCTGGTGCCACCCCAAATAAATAACCTGTTTCCCACTCACCCTCAAGCCCTGCTCCCACAACTTCCGGAGAACTATGTCCTGCTCCTACCCACAAATGTGCCTTTCAATGACAGTTGGACCCAACTTTTCTCCTTTTGGTAAATGCACTGTTTCCAGAAGCTGAGTTCATGGCTGTGGGTTGGCCTTCCCTCCTCCGCTGAGATTTCCCGGATCCTGGAGCCATGCACCAGGTTTTCTTTTTTCACACCCTGAATGACTTCCCTTGGATGGACCGCTTCCTCCTCTCACTCCCAAGCCAGTGACATCAATTTTATAAATTGCCTTTATTGAAGAAAATAAAATTACATGAAAAGAAATATACGAATCAGCAAAAATGGTGTGTATCTGTTAATTGAATCTGCAATGCCACCATCCCGTGGTTGGGGTCGATAGTCTATTGCTTATTTCTTCTTGTCTGAAGGATTCAGCTTATTCAATAATTGCTGAGTCTTAACTTTCTTCACATAGTTGTTGGCAAGGGAAATTCACGTTACTGTTTCCATGGTCACCGAACCTTGTTTCTTTTTTTTTTTTTATCAGACTTCCAAATATTTTTCCTTTTAAAGTAGATGTAAATAACTGAACTTTGTGTTTTGAGCTTTTCCCCTCCTGCACTTGTGAATCAGTGAGAATGAGCTCCTTCATGTACCATTTGTACATGGTAACGTAATGCATTTCTTTGAAACACAGGAACATTTGGGAAAGTGTTTAATGATTTCTGATCTGCAGATCTTACTTCCTTGCCCCGATCAGCTAGCTCATTCTCTTTAAAATACAATGTAGAGGGCCGGCCGAGTGGCTCAGTTGGTTAAGAGCATGAGCTCTGAGCAACAGGGTCCCCGGTTCGATTCCCACATGAGCCAGTGAGCTGCACCTGAGCTGAGCTGCCGCTGAGCTGCCAACAGGTGGTGGGATGGCTCAGCTGGTGAGAGCATGTGCTCCTAACAACAAAGTTGCCTGTTCGACTCCTGCATGGGATGGTGGGCTAT